CCACGGCCCCCGTCCCGCCTAATCCTGTAGCGTTTGACCACGGGATCTAGCCCTTTGACTTTGCACGGACGGGTTTTGACCAGTGGAACTATCCACCCGGTCGTGTTAGGTCAGCCCATACGAACACTTTAGAGCAACATCCGGGCCAAACCCACAGTAAGATCCCCTCCGTGTAGACCCGACGCGTCCGTTTCTCCCCTTCAGGTGCCGGCGGCGGCGCCGTCCGTGAGCGGGGGCACAACCCGGAGACGCGTGCCGCCTCTAATTTGGACATGGCACCACACCACCCCGCATGTATGAGGGCCCGGTGTGACGCTCCGATGGTATTGCTATCCCCAGGGCCCCCGTCCCGCCTCTTCAGACATGGCACCACACCGCCCCGCATGTATGAGGGCCCGGTTAGACGGGAGGGTGTACCTGGGGGTAGCAATGCCGCTAGGTGTTGCTTTGGGCCCTCCTACGGTTGTGAAAGCGTGGTGGCTAGCGCAGGCACCCGGCACGCAGCTCCGGGGTGTGCCCCCCATCTCCGGCGTCGCTGTGGGGCACGGCGCGGCGGCAGCAACGTCCGTGATGGGGGCAATCGATATTCCATCTGGGTATGTTTTTTCTGTGTTAGACAAGGCACATTTATGTTGTGAAAAAAACAGGGAAAAGTAAATAAAAATAAGTAAAAAAATAAAGATAAATAAAAAATAGAGTGCCGACGGCAAGGCCGTCGGCATACCTGCGCACATGGCCACGGATCGATGACGTGCCTAAGGGCGCGGATCGGTGATGTGGCAACATCCATGGGCCAGACCTATGCCGACGGCCAGGCCGTCGGCATAGATTTGCCACCCCACGGACAGGCGAGCGACGCGGATCGATGACGTGGCGGGCGACGCGGATCGATGACGTGGCGTCTATGCCGACGGCCGCGTTAGCCCGTCGGCGTAGATTGACGCCGTCAAAAGGCCGTCTCCGTCCGGGTAGCCGGGCCCACGAGCTATGCCGACGGCCTTCTCTATGCCGACGGCCACCGTAGGCATATTTCTATCGACGCCGACGGGTGAGCTTTGCCGACGGGGGCCGTCGGCATAGATTGATATACGCTGACGGCTTTTCTATGCCGACGGCCTGGGCTGGGCCTTCGGGATAGGCCAATCTATGCCGATGGGGCCCATCGGCATAGGTTCGGCCGTCGGCATCGCCAGTTATTCTGGTAGTGTGGTGAATGAGTCCTCACATTATTTTTGTACCAGGTCGAGATTAATCATTGTAGTAGTTATTACGGCATCATCACATTCAGCAGCGTGAGCAAAATCTTGCATTATCTTGCTCAGATTTTTCTTATTGAGCTGGACAAGACCAAATAGACAGTAGTCAGTTCAGTTTCTTATTTTCCGAAACTTAATTCTATTTGGTAGATATCTATAGCTCATCTATAAGTACATGTCGATATTATGGTGATATCAATACATGGAAATTTTTGAAAAGAACACAATGTTATGATCTTTGACAAAATAGAATTTTGCCGACAGGGAGTTTGAGGCTATCAATGATGAGGTATCCTGGAGAGTTGCAAGCTGCTTGTCTTGTTTCGAATCATGTTTCTGTTGTTTTCTCCCTGCTGAGTGTATTATGTGGGTAGTGTAATCATCATGGTCTCTGAGGCTATGTATAGACTTGAAGTACTGTTTTCTTGAAAATTGACCCTATAAATTCCTGTTTTCCTATAACTGATCTTTCAAAATCCCCCTGGTATTTTAATGAAGTTTGGCATCAGGCTCTTTGAGATAACTCATTAGTTGCTACTGATGGTTAATCTCATCCATGTGCCAAACAAAACTAAGGCCTCCTTTGGTTCATAGGGTAGGAAAATCATAGGAATAGAAAAGTCATAGAAAATGAGATGACATGTATCTCAAATCCTATGAGCAGGAATAGGAACGGAGATGCCCTTTGATTCACATCATAATTTTTTTTCATTGAGTCTAGGCTAATGTTTATTTTCCTATGAAATGTGGAGGATAGGAAGAATTCCTCCATAGGAATAGGATTCCATTCCTACAAATCAAAGGGCTCTAAAGAAATTTTTTCTATAGAAATCCTATCCTATGAAATTTCTATAAGATTCCTCTAAACCAAAGGAGGCCTAAAAAAGAAACTGAAATGGGCGACACCTACCTGGCACCGCAGAGCTTCCGCTCAGGAGGCGCATCAACGGTGCGCCCCAACCACTAGTATCAAATAATGCCCTTTCAATCTCATCATCAGAGAAGTCCTTGATAGCAGGTTGTTCATCTCATTGAAACGGATGCATCAATATTCTGGAGCATCTCTTGAACTTGATCACAACCATCAGAAGTATAGAGGTTACAATAGAAGACCAGTGCCAACTCTCGCATTTCATCATCTGTCAAACAAACACCGCCATCATCTTTCCATAAGCACCGGACCGTATTCTTTCACCATCGGTGTGATGCTCTGTTTTGGAAGAATGTTGACGACTACAACGTTTGCTGACGCCATCTTCCTCCTTGGAGGCGTTTTCGAAAGATTTTGCTCACTACTCCTCGGTCGGCTTTCCTCATAAAAATCGGTCCACTTCGTATTTATTTGTATTTTGTCCATCTATCTATATGAAACCAGCATTTATTTGCATTTTCTCCATCTATCTATATGAAATCGGCATCGGCAGAACGCCTACATTGGATCATAACAAAAAAATTGCCCACTTTAAAAGCAAACTACCTTGGATCATAACAAAAAAAAAGCCCACTTTAAAAGCAAACTTGTCCGAATACTCAGTACACGATGTTGTTCTAGTGCCACGTAACTAGGTAACTAACGCATTAATTCCAGTATGTAATGCACAACGAACTTAGCGAAATTCGCAAAGAGTGGGGTGGGGTATTTGCAACAAGATGATGTCCGTCTTGGCATTTCTTCACCCGTCGGCAGCACACACCTTCTATGAGAGCACCCATGTCAAGTTTAGAACTTGAACCCGGATGGGCTGGTTCCACCACAAGGAACCTAGTCATCTAGGCTAGCCATATTGATGTTGTACTCAGGTTTCCCCGTCGGCGTCTCCTTGGGCCCCAGGCGGCAGCGGAAGGTCCGGAACATGGGGTCGTTGGGGCACACCGGCAGCTGCTGTTGCAGGATGTCCTGGGGCTCGAGCACCGGCGCCGGAGGGGGCGCCGGAGGGACCGAGCCAGTGGCAGCCAGCTGGAGCAAGCCGCCGGGTGTGGCGGGGTCGATCATGTAGGGAAGGTCCTTTCTTTCGTAGTTGGCGCATGGGCTCCCTGAAATCCATCCGCCAAAGAGATCAAGTCAGACTATATATTTCATTGTGCGTCAGGAAGAAGAAGATTTAACCAAAGCGTCCATGGTGTCCATCAAGCAAAGCAGATACTGTTACTTACTGAAGTATGCAGCTGCAGTGGCAGGGAACTCGGTCACGATCCCGTCGGCGCCCACCGACAACGTGTCCGTGGCGATCTCCACCAAGGGGTCGGCCCAGTAGTCGAACGCGAGGTTCATGAACTCATTCTTGAGGACGCCGACATACACGTGCAAATTGCCGGCATGCAGCCTGTCGACCAAGGAATTGGTGAACCCCTCCAGGAAGAAGCCGTTGACCCGCGCGGCAGAGCTGCGCCTGAGCTTCACCGCGTTTGCAAACTCTAATATCTCATCCACCGAAGGCTTGGAGGCGTCGCTTATGTCGAACTCGATCGTCAGCACCCGCTGGAACTTGGGGAACGTCTTGAACGCCGCAAGCACCGGGGCGTCCTCTGACTGTATGAGCACGCGCTGCTTACAGGTCTCCTTGTCGTACCCGGACTTGACAAGCGCTTTGGAGACCGCATCCACCACGTCAAGGCTTCTGGCTATAAGGTACGTAGCATGCTGCACTCGGTAGGTACAAGACCTCTCTTGATCAGTTGGACAGAATAACAACAATAGGTAACAGGAGCGAGCAAATGAATCATGTCAAAAGTAGGATGCTATATATGCTGTCTACCTCTATGCCAATCAGTATACCAGTGATGTTGCTGGCTTTTGCAAAATCAAGGAACTCAGCCAGTGTCATAAATTTGCCAGCGTTCTTCGCCGCAGGATTTCTCTCCAGGCGTGCGTCTGCGAATGGACCGACAAGGTTGGCTGCTCCGGTGAACAAAAAACATGTGACATCAATGTTAGTGTATGCAAATCTTTGGCAGAACAAAATAAGGAGTATGTCTTGCTTCGCACGTTTTAAGGTTTGGATCTCGCTCCATAAGAGATCAAACGAGAAAATGCCCGACTTGTTCTGTATCTCATTGACAGTTGTCATTTTTTCCAAGAAAGTTGTGGCTGCTGTCGTGCTGCTGTTGAGATCTGTAGAGCCCAGGCAGAAGGCGACCCCGTCTTTCGACATCCGGACCCAGCAATCTATTATGTCCGCGCCATCTTTCACCGCTTGTTGGTAGGCAAGGTCCGTGCTGTCTGAGAAGACGCCACTCGCACCATTGTGGGTTATGATCAGTGGCCTGACGTTTGCTTCTACTCCTGCTTGAGTGGAGGGATCAGTATATTGTGTTACAAGATGATGATAAGTTAGCAAAGCAACACCATGGATCAGGAGAAGATTGCCAGATTACCTGGAGGAGCTCCATCTTTAGCAATAGGAAAAACGAATGCATTGCCCTTGGTATGTGCCATGCACACTGCAATTAAAGGATCCTCATGAAGATGTTGTCAACAGGAATCAAAAACGAAGAGCTAAATTGTACGGGTACGTTCCTATCATGTATAAAGTAACATTTCAAAATTTTCATCAACATCCATTTCAGTTATAGCTTCTTCCATTTCAGTTCTTACCTATGGCTCCTGATGCGGTAGGTGGATTGTCTGTTAAAACGCCGTCGACCGAGAAGTCTGAATTGTCTATGAACTGCAAGATTTCCGCGCTGGGATCATAGCTGTAGTTGTAACTCATACAGGGATCATCATTGGCAAATCCAGATGCGTACACTTCCAGCCCTAGGGCATGTGCATCTTTGACCAAACTGGTAGACGGCTCCAAGTACATATCCTTATTCTGTGGCCAAATAAATTGCTTGGGAACAAGAATCCCCGATGCAAAGGCCTTGATAGATTTCAGGTCTTTCAGAAGTTCTCCATATGTTCTCTTTGTCGTAGGCTCAACAAGGTCTTCACGGAGAAACCGGAAAATCAACTTTATATCACTTCTGACCTTTCCACTGAGACTTTTTAAGAATGCAAATTCTGGTGAGGAGACGCGAGTGACAGGAAATTCTTTTGGTAGTCCCAATATGTAATCTTCGCCACTTAATCCGTGCTCCAGAAAAAACGAGTTGTACTAAAGAAAATATGAACTTCTATTAGATAGAGAACATGGTACAGTACAAAGAGATCCTTGGTGAATCTTTGAATGTTAGTGAAACCACATCTACCTCTATGTTGACCCAAATTACATGAAGCTCGCCTTTTTGAGCCAAGACGCTTTGAACCACATTGTCAAGCGACAACAGTTCCTGTGTTCTGTCAAATGTATTTGAGCGAGACAAAACATTCTGAACCACTGAGGGATAATCAAACCACGTGACAAGTCAATACTTTGCAACAGGAAAAAAGAAGAAGAATTAAAAACAGAACCTAAATGGAAAATCAGAAATGATTTCAAAGGATCAACCATTTGGAAGAAAAAAACTTTCAAGGATCCATTTGAACCTTATTCACTCCAAATATGGAAAAATATATGTGTTTTTACCACGTTTGCAATTGCTAACTTCATCATGGAGCATGGATAAAGTACTTTGATTTTACGGTTATGATTTTCAAGATAACCAAGATTATTTTTTCTGCTTACATAGGACACTATGTAGCTCCTCTGATTTGAAATCCAGAGAAAACCATCCTTGAACATCTCGTCCATTCACTTGATAAGTCGAGCCCCTGTCAGCGAACTTCTCAGCAATATTTGACGAATTGTCAAGTCTCAAGCTGCCATGGCAGAAGCCCACACCGTCGCTAGAGAATTGCAGGTCGCAGAACAGAACCACCTCACACAAGCTACTTCCCATTGCCATGCTGTATGCAAGCTGGCTTGACTCAGGCACTACCCCAGACAAACCCCCACGAGCAATGACTAGAGGACGACGACCTGTAGGACAGTACTAGAAAGATTAGCAGCACGGCAGACAAACCATAATGTAGGCTGAAAGAACATACTTTCTAGCTCACATTCTTCTATACAAAATACGCGCTTTTCCTTTGTCGCATGCTAAACAAAAAAAAAATCCCAATTCATAACTCAGCAATGGGCTAGATGCTTACCACTCAGAGTCAGCCATCCCGGTACTGGAGGATCCGAAGCAGCCTTGGTTCCATGAAGAAGTAAGAGGATCAAGAAAACGAGAGGATATGTTGCTCCCATTCGGGTTAGAGACGAGCACCCTGCTGCATCACACAAATTTCACAACAGATGCAACATACGTAAGTACCATGCGTTCACGAGAGATGCAAGATAGACAAATCTGTGTCTCTTCACGAATCAATTCAGACAATAATCGCAGAGGCGCAAGCAAAACAGTTGCAGAATTAAGGGAAAGGATGACAGCATCTCACCAGACCTTGTGGGGAAATTCAGGCTTCAAATGTGCTAGCGCGACGGAGTGGGTTTGGGGAAAGGGATCTAGCACCCACAAAACTAGAGGAACTAAATTGTGGATAGGCGGCAGGCAAGGCATGCATGCAAGGTCTCTAAATCAGACTGTGGAGAGGAGGCAAAGGAGGAGGCAGAAGACGAGGCGAAAGGCTTCTAAAAATAGGGGCCTCCCGGGCGATGGACAGGGTTTTGACATGGCATGGATGATCGTCTCTCACTCACTTGTATGGCGAGTCTCTGCTCCACCTCAACAGCCAGAAAAACCTCCCCTTTTATATAAAAATGTAAAAGGGAAAGAAACAGAGAGATGGTTTTCTTTTCGTGCCATTGCTGGAGTCAGAGCAACTCCACCAAGGACCTTAGACTAGATATCCTGGACGTGTTCGGTGCCTTCTCGCCGCTCCCTTGCTGAACCTACATGCATATGTTCAGAATTCAGATAGATTAAATGGGACGGGACACAATGTATATAAGATGAAAATTACACGATGCAGAGGTTGGTTTAAGAAATCTAGCAAAATTTACAGAAATAACTGGTCATGAGAACATAAAAGGCCAGCATTGGATCTGAGGCTTTGACCTCTGTATGCTTTCTCCCATTTCCCCAATTAGAGACGGCCGCGAAATCTCACCACGAACGGAACGGACTACGGAGGCTGTGCCCGGGAGACGGGTCGAGCACGACGGAGGGGAGGAATAACGACGAGGACATAGGGTTTTCTCCGACGGGAGTAATGGATGGACGGGGAGGCGGCGGCGCTACGGAGCCCTGCATGCCCTAGGCGCCGAGAGGAGGAGCGCGGGGAGACGGCGGCCCTCGCCATCCGCCGCGTGCCGGTGGGAGCGGCGGGGATGGGTGGTGGAAGTGGCGGGAGTTAGAGGGAGAAGACGGCACGGCGACATTGGATTCCGGCCGCCGGCAGACGGGACGAAGGCGAGGCGGCTGCTGAGCGGCGGAGCGTGCATCGAGTACAGTGAAAACCAGCCGGGTTAATATTATTTTTAAAATGATGAAAACCGATGGATTTCCTGAACCGGAGATCCACATATACAATGAAAATCCGAATTGACAAATGAGAGTAAACTACTATATGATAAAAAATTCATATTATATTTATCTAATATATGAAGTATATATTTTTTTACCCGAATATATGAAGTATATATTTGAAATGGAGGGAGAAGCCGTGTTTTCCACTCCTCCCGTCGGAGAGGGCGTGGATCCTTGCTTCCTCTCATCCCATCGTGTAGATAAGGTTAGCTTAGTCCCCATCGGCGTTAATTGGAAGGGATCGACGTAATCCGCCACCTCCTCTTCACATTGGTGTTGCTTCGGGGCGGCGCTGGGATGAGAGTGGCATGCCCTCCCGTCAATCTGCGGATCCGGCGGTTTGTGTGCTCCTGGATGGTCGACGTCTTGGTGGTGACTCCTACCCTGTCTACACACAGTTCAAAATAAAGTCCAACTGTAACCTAACTTGTACAATAATATTCGACACAACTCTAACAAGTTCTAGGCCCTCTCAGGCGGCTTGGTGGTTGCTCTGGTCTACAATTCGTCGATGGCAGCAGCGGATCGGGCGCACCCGGTGAAGCTCGATTTTGCTCCTCATGGATCCCACGAGTCTGTGTTCTCTGACTTCTTTGGATATTCGTGCGATATCGACTTCCACAACTTCAGCTCATGCTCGGTCACGCTGGTCCTTCGAGACCGTAGCACGGAGACTTCCAATCCGCGTTTACAAACAAAGTTTGGCCAGCCGAGGCTCGGGAGCAGCAATGGTGGCAGCGACGGTGCACTTGTGGCTCGTGATGGAACTTCAAGCTGATGTGCGTCTCAGGGACATCCTTGTAATTTTTTTCTTTGTGTGAGGTGCTTTGTGTTGATGTTTATCCTCTATAACAAATCTGATGGCTTATTTTTGAAAAAAAAGGAGGAAGCATTTTGTTTGCAAGTACGGGCGGATAACGAGCATGTTTGGCTCCTTAAGGTTTAGAGGCTTGCTATCCTAACAAGATAAAATTTAAGCTCAGTTTGGATCGTTACATCCGCAAAAAAAGAAGAAGTTTAGATCGTTAAAAAGCTCATGAGTGCTTGCAAACGCTAGTTACCGCTTCTCGTACGTCCAACACTATAACGTCATTGTGCCATGAGTGTGTTTCATGATGACAACTCTTTTTTCCTTTTTTGCAGGGTTTCATAATGACAACTCGCCTAATCAACTTTGCCACTATTCAACTCCGAGACATACCAACAGAAGATTTGTGTTCTGTGATGCGGGCAAAGCCAATTGTGATTAAAAGGTCTACACCCGGGCTAGTGAAATACTCCCTTCGTCTTAAAATAAGTGTCTCGAATTTAGTACAATTATATTAAATCCGACCTAGAAAAATATGTTGAGAAGGGGAGAGTACAAATGAGTTTAAGGAGCTACTCATGAGCTCGATTGATAGGAACTTTAGCTAAGCTAAGAACAAATACGGACTTGATAAGCAGAAACGAGACGACACATGTTTGTAAACATCTACGTGCAACAACTCGTTACTTATTTTCAAGGGGGGCCCCGGGCTTCGAGTTCCTTATCAAGCACATGCAAGCTGATGGGATGAACGTAAATTTCAGCGACCGACAACAGTAAAAAGGAGCTCAAAACCAAACCAATATACTATATCATCACATTTATCTACTGCACTGCACTTAGTGTATGCACCACTCTATTGATCTTTGCAACAATATTGGATGCGTGTACTCTACTTCCTACCGTAATTAATCTCCAGAGGTAGGTATGATCCCCTTTTCAGGTCTGGTGTGTTCTGCTTTGAATTTGCTGCAGCCTCTAGCTCTGCTATACATATGGGCTCTTGAATTTTGTGGTAGATGAACTAGCTACTAGCCAGATGACCTTGCTAGTACTGTAGATGTAGCAGCAGAGGTGATCAAGTACGATTTTCTTATTTGTCTCCTGTTTCACCCGATCTGGGGACTGGGGTACTATCTTTAATGCTGTGCCTCACGTTTAGTGGTAGCTTGAACAAAGGTATTTTTGCATGATTTGAAGTTCATCCCAAAAGGCCTCCTCAAAACCCCTTCTTGTATTGGGACATTCAGACTTAATTTCAAGACAATATGAATGCATATTTTCTCAGTGTTTCCTAGCTAGGATTGAGGGATATTTGGTGAAAAGTCTCATTGGCCTGGCTCGGATAATGGGATTTCATCTTTAACCCTTTCTTTCATTGCACTCTGGAGATTTGCCCTCTCCAATCTAAGTAACCTGTACTTGGGACCTGAACAGAGCCTCTTCCCCAAGAAAAGTCTAGAGTACCCTTGCCTCGTCTTCGATGGCCTTAGGACCATGGCGGCGCGGTGGATCTCGGTCCTTGTCGGCAGGAGGGCTTTGTTTTCAGTTGTTTTTTCGCGTTTTGTTGGGGTTTGTGTCCTGCTTAGGAAGACGAGACGGCGGCGGCTCCCTGAAGATGGAATAAGGTTCTCCCCGCCTAGCCCCCGTCCCGATGGTGTGTCTAGTATCATCGGTGGGCGTGTGGAGATGCGCCTCCGGCGGATCTGTCCTTGGTGGATTTGCTCGGATCTGCTCGTAGTTCGTCTACGTTCATGTGTTTTCAGGTTGGATCCTTCTGATCTACGCTACTCTTCATCGGCGGCGGTTGTTGTGCTGCTGCGCTGGTCCTATGGGGTCTTAGCACGATGACTTCCCGGCTATCTACTGCAACAAGTTTTGCCCGACTCCGACTAGAGAGGGGCGATGACGGCGGCGCGCCTTCGGCTCGCTTCAGTGCTTGTAGTCGTCGCTAGGTGTTCTACGAATCTAGATGTAATTTTTATTATTTTTGGTATTCGTTGCACTGCCATGATTGAAGATGAATAGATTGGAAGTTTTTTCGCAAAAAAATAATAATCTAAGTGACCTATCTTCGCACCCATACCCCCTATAAACCTCTATTGGAGTCCCTTTTCAGCTTTGATATAAGTGACGATGTGCTATGCTCGTTTGTGAGAGGCGAGTGTGGTCAGTTGCGACCCTTTGCCGCTATGCTCAATTCATAGTGGCCATGTGACCCCCGCCCCCCGCACCCCCCTCCCACCCCACCCCCAGGGTCGGTGATAAGTACAATCTGTTTGGTAACCTTCTGGGTAGAAGGTGAGTGGAGTTTGTGGAGGGATTAGGCGTGAGAAATAGATTTTTACTCTTTTTCCCACATGATAGGAATTATTCCGCAATGGAGCCGTGCCGACGAATTAAGAAGGACCCCATCGGAAGACATTGGTGCGAGTTGGCTCCCTCACTCTTATACCTTTTCCACTTAAACTTCCATTCCATCTGACTCCAAACCCCACAAACCAAACATTTCGAAAAGGAAAGAATGAGCCCATTTTGGTCTTTCCTAATAGTGCCGGGCCAAGGTGACAGATGTAAATGATCAAGGAGCGAGGGGAAGAAATCACTGCTCATAAGAAAGGGCAAACGGAACATGCACGCGTTCTACATCAGTGTGTTTGTGGCTTGTTCATCTTTGTATGCAAGATCTCGTGGACTCCGGCCGGCCGGCTGACTAGCGACTAGCGAGCGAGGGTGCCAGACAGACCATGCGCGCCCGGGACGCCATTGATTGACTCACTCGAGATCTCTTCTTGCCAGCGCACCCCGCCGGCCGGCCTCCATAAATCCCGGTCTCGATCTCCAGTGGCATCGACGTACGTCACCATTCCCCTCGCCTCTTCCTCCCGCTGAATCCATCCAAGCCCTTCA